AGAGAGGTTCATTTATTTTCCTTTGTTCTCATACTGTTGGGTTTTGGGCACGTTGAGTGTGGGCGGTTATCTCTCATATCCCTGTCATCACCGTTCACTCCTGTGCTGAATGCCAATGGCTGTACAAAAAAGGTTGTTTCAATAGACCTGAAATATGCACATTAAAACGTGAATGCAGCCATGAGGTGTTGAATTTGTTGTGTGTCCAGTTGTACAGTTAATTTCATCACTTTCACACACACACACTGATAGCTGTGTGGACAGCGCTCTGGACTCGTAATACTAGGGTCCGGGTTCGATCCCTGGTAATGACAGAAACAAATGGGCAAAGTTTCTTTGGCCCTGATGCCCCTGTTACCTAGCAGTAAATAAGTACGCTTGAGTTAGCTGTTACAGGCTGCCTCCTCTGTGTGTGTGTGTGTGTGTGTGTGGAAAAAATAGTAGTTGGTAACAGTTGATCGAATGAGAGTTGAGAGGCGGGCCGAAATAGCAGAGCTCAACCCTTGCAAGCACAACTAGGTGAATGCACACACACACACGCAATAGTATTTATTTTTTAGTGATAGATTTTCCCCTTGAAAATTTTAAACTTATATGGAACATAAACACCGGAGAAAATATATAAATATTCTTCAATTTATTTTTACAAACAAAAGATTGGGAGAATATACCTCATCATCAGTGTTAAACAAAAGTCCACAATTGTTCACCAAAATGCAACTAACAACCATAAAAAGACTAAACAAAATAAAAAATAATTAAAAAATGATTAAAAGATATATAGAAAATATAAATCAACAGAATGAATCCAAAATACCAGGAAAATTGACCAAATAGCATGCTTAGAGAAAACGATTATTTGGGAGTAGCCAATCGACTCGGGGTCTCGTTTTGACGATTAAAATAGATTCATAAAGATTTCGATGTTTAGTCGACGACAACTGGAAGTCAGTTGAGTGAACTCCTTGTGAGTGGAAAGTCGACGGTCTGTCCACAGTGACCTTTAACAGAAGAGTTTGACGTGACTTGCCTACAAGTCCTATAAGGTAAGAACAACACATTGGCTGGGGTCATGGTTACGGCCTTCGTGAGGTATTCCCCACGTAGTGAACATTACACTTCAAGCATTTTGGAAAGATAACACCAGATCAAGGCAAATGGGGGGGGCCTTCGACAAGCCGCCGGATTCCTGTTCTAGTCGAGCCAACTAGGGTTAGTGGCCCTATACCTGTGTTCTAAATAGTTTCTAACAATATGATTAGCAACAAACACAAACTAAGAACTAATCCGTGATTGGGAATATCTAAGAATGTTATGAAGATTCTTATGAAACTATAATTCCTCTAGGAAAAATGTTTAAATAAACTAAACTTATTCTCGTGAATGTTGGTTTATGGTAAACAAAAGTAAACTGTCTACCATTATTAGTAATTAGTTATAGCCTCATGTGAACGACAATTAAGAATTAGGAAATAATAGGCTACATGTTGATAGAAAATAGAAATATTTAAGAACAAGTCTAAAAGTCCCCCAGACTGTGAAGAACCTGGTAAACCAGGTCCTCCCAAAGCCACGTCAGCCAAGTCAGGTCCTCCCAAAGCCAGGTCTGTCAAGCCACGTCCTGCCAAAGCCAGGTCTGTCAAGCCACGTCCTCCCAAAACCTGGTCCACAAAGCCTATCCCCAAACCAGGTCAAAGCACTGCCAAGTCCGGTCCGGGTCACAGGGGTCAGGTCATCGAGGCGGCAGCCACACTTAGCTGACCTCAAGAACCAGTCTCACAACACATCCGGTCAGGATAACACATCTGGCCCCTACAAAGCATATCCGGACTCTTGCGAAGACCCCCACGTCCGGATACATGAAATTTAGCTGGAAACTAGTTTAGATTTTATGCTAAATAATGATTGTGTTGGTAAACCAGGTGATTATGTGTAAACTGCCCGCAGCTGTTTCCCCAGCACACACACACACACACACACACACGCGCGTGCGTCGTAACCCACAACGCTTTTCTATAGTCAATTAAAACGTAACGTTTTAAAGGACGTAGATATTGTGTGTGTGTGTGTGTGTGTGTGTGTGTGTGTGTGTGTGTGTGTGTGTGTGTGTGTGTGTGTGTGTGTGTGTGTGTGCGCGTGCGTGTGTGTGTGTGTTGGGACATCATTCTGCTGTGGTTACATCCACTCATCTATGAAGTATAATTTATTTGGAGTGTTGGGGGGGGAGATTTATTAGATTTTGTAGATTTATATCCACACAAACATATATACATTTGAGCCTAGGCATATAGACACTAACAGGTATACAAATTCAGACTAAGAGAGTCAAATTGGACCTATGCAGGAGTAGCATTGGAGGCGGAGACCAGGAGCTAAGTTCCTCCTAGCAAGGAACCAGAGATGGATAGTCTCTGGATCCTGCTGCTAATGATAGCCAAGGAGAGATTTATCAGGGGGAAAACGCCAAGCCATTGCGACTATATAGCACTGGGAAGGGATCAGGATATAAGGATTTGGGATGGGATGAAGGGGAAAGGAATAGTGCTCAAGCACTTATGGACGGTCGGGGATTGAACGCCGACCTGCATGAAGCGAGACCGTGCGGCCCAAGTGGTTGGGGTGATAGCGTGAGCCCTGAGCACAGGCGCGGTAAAGGTCAAGCTGATTGTACTGATTGTACACAGGCGAATAACAGGATTTGCACTGATAAGGACTATCTCGTGCGAGATAAGTCCTCGGCAACCTATCCTTAGGCAGGATAGGATAGGTTGCGACCTCATGTCCATAGACAGGATACTTGTTATCTCATGACTTCATAAGGCTCGTGAGGCCGCACCGCTTGGATAGAAGGGTTATCTTGAGATGATTTCGGGGCTTAGCGTCCCCGCGGCCCGGTCCCCGACCAGGCCTCCTTTTTATTACAAACCCCCCAGGAGGTAGCCCGTAGCCGCTGTCTAACTCCCAGGTACCTATTTACTGCTAGGTGAACAGGTGCATCAGGGTTAGAGACGGGTTCTGTTCCTACCTGATGCCGACCAATAGTTAGCTTGAAACTAAATCATTAAGACTAAGAATTCACGAAAAGGAATGTGACAATCAGAAAACGGTAAATATTTAAATTTAAATTTAAAAATAAAGGTGTCAAGGGAAGTTAAATTCATTACATGCTTAGTTGTCTTTGATATATATTGCACAATAAATAGTTTAAGAAGTTGTCAGTAATGATCGATGCGCCCACTCTCTCGCACATCAAATGCGACTGTAATTGCACAAAACATCGCCATCAGTCTTGTTTAAGTGCCCCCTGCACGTCAATAAACTCATCAACCGACGCCACCAGCTGGGAAATAACCTGACGAACGTCGCTGCCAGAAACCTTTTCTAGCGATGTAGGAACCGTTTTCGGCGCAGCTGGAATAGGCTTGTGTCGTATTGAAGCATTTCTTCTCTAACCTTATTGGGGGTTTATATTTATTTTCCCACTTTCACGCATTCGTTGCCTATTGCGTAATTGTAGGAATAATTACAAAATTTGTTGATAGAATTGCGTCAAATGGTGTTAAATGTTTTAAATGAGTCCACACCTGATAAAACGCTATACGTGGCTTTACAAGAATGTTAATTTAACTTATTTTCTATATTCTCTGTTAACCCCCAATGTAATTTCTTGTATATAAATAAAATAAAATAAAAGAATTGGTTTCAGCATAGGCTTTATAGGGAATTTGTGTTTGAAACTTTTAGTGAACGTCTGTAATTATTGTTGCCATTTTTATCTGTTATTGGTGACTGTGCTGTATTTTGCACCGTTTTTCTGTAATAACAGTAATGACTGTAACGGACTGTAGGTAATGTACGTTAAAAATATAGAACTAAATAAAAATCAGACGCGACTAAGATGGCGCAAACAGTTCGGTTTTTGCGAGCGTTCCCAACGTCAGAAAACTGTTGTGCTAAAGTGGCCTAACCTAACCAACCAGATACCCACGAACAGAAAACGGGATGGGGGAAAAAACCGGCTCTAAGAGTTAATAGCTCGGTTCTGCAAGTGAAAATAGTAAACACACACACACACACACACACACACACACACACACACACACACACACACACACACACACACACACACACACACACACACAGGGGCCTCGTAGCCTGGTGGATAGCGCGCAGGACTCGTAATTCGGGTTCGATTCCCGCACGAGGCAGAAACAAATGGGCAAAGTTTCTTTCACCCTGAATGCCCCCTGTTACCTAGCAGTAAATAGGTACCTGGGAGTTAGTCAGCTGTCACGGGCTGCTTCCTGGTGTGTGTGTGTGTGTGTGTGTGTGTGTGTGTGTGTGTGTGTGTGTGTGTGTGTGTGTGTGTGTGTGTGTGTGTGTGTGTGGTGAGAAAAAAAAAGTTAGTAAACAGTTGATTGACAGTTGAGAGGCGGGCCGAAAGAGCAAAGCTCAACCCCCGCAAACACAACTAGGTGAATACACACACACACACACACACACACACACACACACACACACACACACACACACACACACACACACACACACACACACACACACACACACACACACACCACTAGTCAGACATAAAGCTCCATCCTTCAAGCTATATACTCAATGTTTAGTATTGTGTGTGCACACTGTGGGAGAGAGAGAGAATATAGTAAATTAATTTGCCACGGGTGAATGTGCTCGACTTACCAGTTAAATGAAAGTCGATGATTGAATGATTGACAGTCAACGATTGGCTGAGTGATGGACACGAGAGTGGCTGATTCATGTGAGTGACTGATGATGAGCAACGTTGACGGTGGTTGATGATAGAGAGAGAGTTGGTCACCCCAATTCCAATATGCTAAATCATCAATCATTATACCTATTGTTCTCGCACTTGCTTATAGTCAATATTGGCTTATTAATAAGTGCATATGTGACATACTAATTTATTGTGAATATTTTAGTTTACCTTGAAAAGCTTCATAGAAAACACCGACCTA